CCCGAGTCAGCCAACATGGACCAGCCGTGGGTGTTTACCTCTTAGGTAGGTCTATGCTGTAATTAGAGTGGAAAGTAAATTGGCTTGCAAAGGAAATATTAAACCATGCTTTCTCTCAGGGGCTATCAGAGCCTGCATCCAGACAAGGGGGAGAATTACCATGTACGCTCTCTAGTAGCAAAGTGCTGCAATGTCAGGAGCCCATTGTGTTCCTCATGATTGTCTTGTCATTTAAGAGGAAGAAAAAGCGCTCTTACATTTGATCACCACCTGGTCAGCTCTGGCACAAACTCAGGACTGATCACATGGGACTAGTCTGCTGATCTCCTTACGTGCAAAGGAGATGGGGCCCAGTGCTGACATACAGCCTCCTGCACAGGCGACAAATATTCAAACACAAACAAGAGCTGGTGACTTGCAGCGGGACTGCTGAGGCTCTGAGCACAACACAATAATCACTTGGGGGGGGAGAAAGGCTGTCTAATCGGCATTCGCAAGCAAACCACTCATCCCTTTGAAAAGCCAGTTCAGAAACAGCCAATAAAAGGAAAACTTGAGGTTCTGAGCCCAAACTTAGCAATCAATCCAGACAGGGCAAAAGAAGAAATCTAAGAGCAAGGAGTGCTGCCTCCCCCTGCTAGACAGGAAGCAACTGACAACCAAATCCACTAGGTAAGTGGAGTGACATCATAGCTCTAATATTTTCTTGTCTGAGCTTACAGGAAGTCCCCTCAACTTTTACTACAAACAAGAACAGTGTATGTTCTGGACGGTGTTTTGAACCTGAAGTTGCAGAGTGATCAACTCATTTTTGGGGTTGGGGTTTAGTAAAAAGACCTTCCCCAGAGCTAGGAAGATTAAAGAGAGAGGCTCCTCAAACACACTAAAGTTCAGACATTCCAGACCCCTTTATGGTGCCACAATGTTGTTTCCAAGCACCAAATCTAGTCATCTCCCAAACAGCCCTGAAGTTTCTCTCTAGTTTGTTTGCAATCATATCCATCCTTGCTCCTCTGCCTAAATATCTGGTACCAATCATTGGTATTTAGATACTGTTATATGGGCCTTAAAATATCCTTTAACAGACATGTAAAAGTCTCTCAGTTTGGGGGTGAGGAGCAGTTGCTAGCTCTATTTGGTTATATGTACTGCAGTGGCACCTAGAGACCCCAATCAAGGGACAGGGCTTGTGACAGAATGCAGCCCTTTGTTCACACCCTATGCACTATTGTAATAGTTTTTGTACAAAGTATGCCTTGTGAGGTATCATTTGAAAACTCATTATTTGCTGCTCACTGTTCTGGTAAAGTGAGCGACAACGCTGAAGTTATAAGATACCCCCATATGGCATTAATAACACATTTCAATCCCCATAGCCCTTCCCAAACAGAAGCTGGCAAACAGTTCTGTCCAAAACAAAGGAGTATGTTCTCTACTTCATTTGCATTCAAGCTGTAAACAGAGTCATCAAGCAGGAAGGGAAACAAAGAAAGCTCAAACAGGTGAGAAAAAAAAGCAGCAGGGACCATCCTTCCACATAGACTTTGTCTCCTGGTGCACAGCTGAAATGTTTTCAAGTGGACTGAAACTATAAAAAGGAGAACACACGCCAAGGGACCCTTCTCTCTCTCCCTGCCCATAGCATTCACTGAAGTGACAAAGGAAACATCTGTTCAACTGTGGGAGAAAGGGCCCTGACCTACAGGGTTTGGTCAGTAAGACTGCTGAAAGCATATGTTAAGAAACTGCTTGAATCTGAAATAGTTTGTGAAGCTGAATATTAGTAAATGTCTTATCTTTATTTTTCTTGTAATAATTTTTTACTTTAATGCCCCATTACTTGTACTCACTTAAAATCTCTTTGTAGTTTATAAACTTACTTTATTATTTTATCTAATCCATTGTGTTTAAATTGAAGTGTCTGGGTAACTCCATTTGGTGTGACAAGTTGTGTGCATATTATTCTTTTAAAGAAATAGTGGACCCTTGCATCTGAAGAAGTGAGGTTCTTACCCACGAAAGCTTATGCTCCCAATACTTCTGTTAGTCTTAAAGGTGCCACAGGACCCTCTGTTTCTAATAAAACAAGTTATTTTTGTATATATTTGAATGATACAAAAGTAGGGTGAAAAATCAGAAAAAACGAATACTTTTTGTAAAACCCAGCATTTTTTCCAGTAAAAATTGGTTTACACTTAAAACGAAGCGGCTTAGATATTGTAAAGCACCCAAGGTTGCAGGGCAGGGGTGACAGTTACTAGCTGTATTTGGTTATGTGTATTGCACTGGCACCTACAGAATCCAATCAAGGGACAGGGCCCCACTGTGCTAGTCACTGTACAATAATGACAAAATAAGAACTCGCCTCAGAGAAGTCATAATCTATTGTGTGTTTGAGTTTTGGCAGATATACTAGGATAGGATCCTTTGTCATGTATGTTTTAGTAACAAATACAAAATAGATACCAAATTTTATTTAAAACTTGCCATTTGTGAAATCCATGATACTTAAGGACAATGATCGAGCCTGGCCCCCGCCCCCTATCCGCCCCCTCCCACTTCCTGCCCCCCTCAGAACCCCCGACTCATCCAAACCCCCCCCCCGTTCCTTGTCCCCTGACTGCCCTGACCACTATCCACACCCCCGCCTGGCCCCCTGGGACTGACTCCCATGCCTATCCAACCCCCCCCCCCATTCCCTATCCGCTGAACGCCGCCCCGCCCCCCCAACCTCCGCCCCATCCAACTGCCCCCGCCCCTTATCCAACCCCCCCTCCCCTGCTCCCTTACCATGCCGCTCAGAGCAGCATGTCTGTCAGCCACGCCGCCCAGCCGGAGCCAGCCACACCACCGTGCTGCCCAGCAGGACCATGCAGCCCCACCGCCCAGAGCGCTGGCGGCATGGCGAGCTGAGGCTGTGGGGGAGGGAGGACAGCAGGGGAGGGGCCAGGGGCTAGCCTCCCTGGCCGGGAGCTCAAGGGCCAGGCAGGACAGTCCTGCGGGCCGTAGTTTGCCCACTTCTGTGCAAGAATATGTACAGGGATATTTATAGGAAAAAATTAAGGACCCAAAGACTCAAACAAGAAGTTACTTCTGTATCTGACAGAAGCTGTAGCAACTGATACAGCTGTCCATGGTCTTTACATTACTTATGAAATAACCAACCACATGAACTGCAGATTCATCAAAAACAAAGCCACAGCTAACATTGTGTCAATACATTTTAATTTTATGATGAAAAAGTAATTTTAATTTTGTTATGATATAGCCAAAGGCAGCTTACATAACGCAAAAAACTGTTGGTGTGTGTTAAAGTTTTCATTAAAGTAAACACTATGAGCTAAATCCTTTACATTAGTGTAAACTACATGCAACTCAACTGACGCTAATGAATTAGTCCAGATTTACATCCAGTATAGCACAATTTAGCCCTTTGTGGGAATCAGTTAACCTTCCTATTGTTAGTGCACATGACTACAGTGCATGGAATATTTTCTACTTAAATGTGTGGTTTAAAACCCTATTAAATATGTACCATAAAGTGGCCATGCTAGAGTGGCTAAAGAACCTTCATTTTTGCATTTCCTTAATGTTTCACAGTTATGAAGAAGCAATGTTGCCTTCCATCTTTTGCTTTTTCTCTTTTATGTGCTTCATATTGACATTTAAATAGCCCACATTAGTCTCTGGCTTTTACACCTCACTGAGATGAGGGCATAACAGCAAGGTTAGTTTCCCCACTTTTATTCCTCAGCTTTAGCAACAGTTTCCCACAAGACTCTGTTAACAAGGTAGCAGCCCATTTGTACCTTTGTAATGTACAGATAAAAAGTGCAGAATGAAGCAAAAACCGCTGCAGCCCTGCAAGGCCTACAATTCTCATGAAAGGACAAAGATTTTCTAAGCATTTATTGTATTTCGCTAAGTCTCCCTCATGTAAACTGTCCCAGCAGCAGTCCCAGAGCAGGAAGAATGTAAGTGGAGAGAGGACAAGGCGTTGTTAGGCTTTGCTCAAGAGTTGTTTAAATGATGTAGCTATTTTAATTTATATAGCTAGGCACTAGTTCTCATTAAGAGATTTACATGCCAAGTTTTCTAAATTCAGCCATTTTTGTTGTAGCCATCACTACAACAGCACAGTTATACTTTAAAAACAAAATTAAATGTGAAAATACCATTTCTACCAATTTATTACAGCTAAATGCAATTTCCTCACATTTTGCAAAATGTTTAAGCCAAAAAACGGTTAAATCAGCTTCTCATATACCATGCAGTCTAGGTGACTTGGTGCTGTGTCATTTATCAGTTTGCTCCAGCACATACTCCCTTTTTGTGAGTCCCCTCAACTTAGCGTACGGCCAACATTTATTTCTCCATCAAGCTTCATGTAGCTTGAAATGTGCAATCCTGGCCCCAATTTAGTCAATGGACTTTTGCAATGACTTCTCTGAGGTGTTCGAAATCCAAACACTGCAGCACTAAGAACCTGAAAATGTTTAGCTTCACCAGAAACAAATGAAATTAACTAATCTAGTTCACATGCCCAAATGGAATAAAGTTAACAAAAGTAAACCAAAATGGAAAAAAAATGGATATTTAAAATTGAGTTTAGCAGTTTAGGACCATAAAATTGAGAAAAAAATCATACACCTAAATGCAAAATTATCTTCATAGTGCCCCTTTAAAAGCACTTACAGAATATGGTACACAGAGAGCAACATGTACAAGAATGAGTAATGAGAAATGGAGCCTTATTTTATTATTAGCCTTAGTTACTAAACCGGCCTACACCTCTACAGCTACCTTCCATAAAAGCCAATAATGATCAAATCTTGACATCCTCATGATAAAAACCAAGACTCAACTGTGCCATCATTTTTCCAACAAGAAAAGTAGTAAACTCCTCCGATAGAAAGGAAACAGGCTGGATTTACACATAGGCCAGGCATAAAAATAGTAGTTGTAATTATCAGAGGAAAAAACAAATAAGTCACACTTACTGTGTTGCATTTTGTCCCACACACCACTTGTCGGTGGTTCAACCATTGAGACGCAAAAACTTTATTAAGGGTCCCAAGATGAAATTCTCTCTCTTTCAGGAGACTGGGAAGTTGCTGTGCTGCATATCCATGCAACAAACGGTGGTAGCTGGATTCATTCTGCAGCCGAACCTCTCTGCCTTTCAGGTAGTACACCAGAGACTTTTTTACTGGGGGGAGTCTTTTCCTTTTGTGAGCTGAGTGATCCCAGCCATACTGTGAATGACAATCAAAATTCAATGCTGCAGTAACAGTATATTTTAAATAATTTATGGTTCTGTATTAGAGATTAAGTTATCAATGAACAAATGAAATCTTGTAACCTACCCTAAAATACTATACAAGAGGGTTACCCATTCCAGCATAAACTTCAGCCATATTAAGAATCTTAAAATACCTATTTGTCAGGCACCAATTCTGACTGCAGTGTGCTGCTCTTTCAATGAAATTTCAAAGATGCCTATGACCAACAGGAAATCCCAAAGCACTTTAAAACAGCTGAAAGTATCCCAGGTCACCATAGTTTAACGACAGGTCTAATTATGTCAATTTCGACAGAAATGTATCAAACCTAGACTGACTGGGGGTGTGTGTGTGGAAGTGTTCCAGCAAATAGCTTCCTTATTCAAACACAAAGGAGGAGCGGTTTTTTAAAATGCACAGCCTGGTTCAATACCGACCTGAGTAGTAACCTGAGCTCCCAAGCACCTCCTCCCACTCCGTTTACAATCACTCCGGAGCATCGAGCACTACCGGCTTGCCAATGACTGAAGAGGGAGGGAGGGGTGGGTTGATCAGGACCCACGAGTGAGTTTCCCCACACAGGAGCAGCAGCGCCCGCCTCCCTCCGCCCCAGGCCCCGGAGTGCGAGTCGGTTACAGGGTTCGAACGATCGAACCAAAACACGGGCAGCGGCCGGAGCCCTGCTCGGGAGCCCCGCTGGGATGTGGGGAGGGGGCCGCCCGGCTCCCTGCCCGGGCGCTGCTCCCCTGGGGACCGCCCCTGGCACCCCCCCGCAGCAGGCTAGCCAGGTGCCAGCCTCTCTCCCGGGGCGGAGGGCAGGTGCCAGGTGACCCAGGGCCCAAGCCTGGGCGGCACCCGAGGGAGCGGCAGGAGGCTGGCCGGCCGGGACGGAACTGGCTCATCCCCTCGGTTACTCCCCACCCCAACTCCCCCTGTTGCCAGGCCTGAGCCCCGGGGGCGATTAGCGCCCACCCCCGGTACCTGTTCCCCCCATTACCTACCGAGTCTCCCCTCGAGCCTCCACCGGCCCGGGGGCGGAGGGAACCTACTCCTGTCCGTCCCGGCCCCCTCAGCCCGCCCCACCGCCATCGCTTCCTTCCCCGGGACCCCTCCCCCCCTCTCCCTAGAGCCGACACCCACCCCGGGCCCGGGCCCCTGCCTCCCGTTACCGGCACCCTCTGCAGCCCCCCCCACCTCCCGGGGCTGACCCGGCCCTGCCCCCGCTGGCGCGGACCTAGGCCCTGCCCTTTCCCTCCTACCCGAGCACCGACCTCGGACCTCCCCTCCCCCCGAAATTACCGGTTCCCTGGACCCAGCTCGCCCCGCGCAGCGCCCCCCGCTTCCGGGGGGGGGGGGGGGGGGCGGGCGCGCCCCACGGCCCCGCCGC